ATTAAATAATTCAAAAATTGGGAAAATTGACATATGTATTATATGTGTTATTATTGCATCAACTCTCACTAATGGAGCAAGATCATACAGTGATTTGGATTTTTATAGACATAAATTAAAGCAAAATGTTATGGACTTCTGTTCCCTGAGGGACCTTAGCAAGTTGACTCCCTTAAAAAACCCTGTCAACACTCCATCCAAACCAATGTGACAGGCACGTATAGCTGTCATTCCTCCACTAGCTGCTGGAGGAACTACAAAACACATAATAAAGAACATTACACTACTGACATCACTGCTCAAAAGCCATCTACATGGATAATTTACAGGCGAATAGATCACTAGTGGATGGTGCCCTCACACTTCATTGTAATCATTGAGGTTATTGCCATCATATTTGTGGCCACACCCAAACGTTGGACCTCTCAACAGGTAACATGCAGAGACCACAGGAAGAATCGCCTCTTATTCTGCCTGAGAGAGGAGGTTTTTGCAAGCAGGAAGCTGCCAACGTCTGTATGCCATCAGACTGATTATGGCTGCTTACCACTACTTCATCAGGGCCACCAGGATAAAGGACAGACCCTGCCGACAGTGCTCTTCTGGTATGGACCATCCCCAGACAGATGGGACAGGCTTCATGCTGGTCCTTGTCTTGCAAAGAAAATCCACACTCCTGATTAAATGGGTGGATAGAAGACTTTTTCTTGGCTTGTTTATTAGCCTTGGTGCCTGTTTACGGTTATTCTGTTAGGGAAGCTAAATGTGAACTCACCAACATAATTAAAGCTCTCAGAACAATGGGACACATAAACCAGGTAGGCGACAGGTGAGTCACTGACTGAGCTGATTTCAAGCCTGTTCAATGCTAATGAAACATAGAGCCAACAATCTGTAGCAGGCTAACTAAAGGTGAGGTGCTCTTTGCCAGGTGAGGAGCTTAAGAACTGAGGGATTGAGTAAAGGGGGGGCCTCACATAGCTGAGTGATGACAGGTGATTTGCCTTTAAGATGTGAATAGAGGTGTCTTCAGTCAGGCCACATGTATGGTTTCCCATACTAGATGTGATGTACCAAATGAACTGACTCAAGGGGAACCAAAAATGTCAAGTCTCAAGCTCGATAGTTTTAATTTGAAATTTGTAAGAGGAAGTCATTTGTTGTTTGCACGCTAGCTTGATAATTGATCTTCAGTGCGCCTCCCGGACGTGGCTGCCTCTTGTGTGCTCTAGTCCCTCTCTCCTGTTCAGGGTCCGGGTTTCAGGTTAATTTACAACAAGAACAATATGAGAGGTCAATGCAAAATGAGAATTACTTTCATTCAACATTTATTTACACAGTAAGTTGATAGTAATGATAATATGCAGCCATAACTGAAATCCTGGTCATTATAGACCCCAACCCAGACTGTCCAAAATATCACTGAACTCAAAATCAAAACTGTACACACCAAAATTATTTGCATGTCCACTTGCATCAGCCTGGCAACTCTTGTGACAACACAACTGATGACTTATTTGCACATTGGCCACTCTGGGTTACCTGCTGTTTGCATTTTCTCTGTGTGATGGTCTGTGTTTCCTGCCATGATATTGGAAAATATGAGGGAATAAATGTGAGAATATAACTTATTTGGAAGGATTGCTTATCATTTATAATTTTAAGTATTTTATTAGGAACACCTGTAAATCTGCTCATTCATGCAGTTAATCAGTCAGCCAATCATGTGGCAGCAGTGCAGTGCATAAAATCCTGCAGATACAGGTGAGGAGCTTCAGTTCATGTTCACATCAAACATCTGGATGAGGAAAAATGTGACTGCGACATGATTGTTGGTGTCAGACGCTGGTTTGAGTTTTTCTGCAGCTGCTGATCTCCACGACAGTCTCGAGAGTTTTTACTCTGAATGGAGCCAGAAACAAAAAGCTTCCAGTGAGCAGCAGCTCTGTGGAGGAAACACCTTGTTGGTGAGAGAGGTCAGAGGAGAATGGTCAGACCTGTTGGAGCTGACAGAAAGACTACGGTCACTCAGATAACCACTCTTTACAACTGTGGTGAACAGAAAAGCTTCAGAGTGAACAACACCTCCAACCTACAACAGCAGAAGGTTCCACTTCCTGTCACCAAGAACAGAAACCTGAGGCTGCAGTGGACACAGACTCACCAACACTTGAAGACTGGAGAAACACAGCCTGGTCTGATGAATGTGGATTAAATAAAGTTAATTAAAGTATGTTTGACTTGGTCAAAAAAATACACTATATCAAAATACTCAACTTATACTACAACTTCACATGAAAATGAAATTCCTTCAACATAGAATTTCATGTTCATTCACTGTTGTACACACACACACACACACACACACACACACACACACACACACACACACACACATACACACAACAGTCTATCAAGCTGTCACTGCTGCCATCTAGTGACTCCTACTTTTCCATTCACCATCTATTTTGCCTCATTCATACTGTTACGTTTCGAAAAGGCAAAGACAAGGACACCTACTGTATATACATAGTTTAAATCCATTTTCTTAGATCATGGCTTTTAAAAATAAATTACAAATTTTAGCCCTGGATAATTAAAGTGTCTAGCTTAATGTTAATGATTGATACTTAAATATGTAATGTGTTACTTAATTATAATATCTATTGTATTTGCCTTTTCTTTTATGTTGGAAGTATTCTTCATCTACCACAATAAATTATGTCCTTCCACCTATGTGTCCTCTTTTGTCACATTCACTGTACCGTATCTCTCTCTCTTCCTCTCTCAATTATGCACTCGCATACATACACACACACACACACAACACAACACACACACACACAACCACAATGACACACACACACACACACACACACACACACTATTTAAAACTGAAAAAAGAGTTGACGTAATAGAAGTTGAAAATAAAAACTTTAATGACATCTCTAATTTTCACAGCTTATCTTTTTTTTTATCATCTTGTTAATCTGTGACTGTGACTTCTCCTCCTGGGACATTCTCAGTCTATGACCTCAGGAGCAGTTCTGAGTAAGTGGTGACAGAGAAATAAATGATTGCATCACTAGGCCTTCGCAAAACAGAGGGGTTATAACAAGTTCATTATGATTGCTAATCTTCCCAGAAATATTTCAAATCCTGACATAGTTTGGGTCTGAAACAGGAAAGTTTCGTCAAATGTGTGTTTTTTTTTCTGCTTAGCAATACTAAATACAGTTTTTTTGGGGAAAACAATTACAAGCTGTGAAAAATACGGTTGATGTATGTTTTTAGTATTGCTGTTATTTGATTCAGATGTGAGATTATTTTTCTGATTCTTCCTATTTCTGTCAAAACATGTATATCTGGATGTCTCACTTGATATGAAACCAGACCTCCTCTCTGCATCTTAGGCAGCAATGTCATACCATGTCCCTCTGTGGCCAGTTTTCAGTAGGCCTACCACTAAAACTAGACTAAAATGTTTGTGGTTTTCTTCCACTGAGATAAGGCTAAAATGAATTTAATCAACCGAAAACCTAAAACAGTCAAAAAACTGACTGCACGGACGGATGGACTGACAAAACATTGGCCACTATCATGAAAGACCACTGTTTGTTTTAAACCGATGGCCGAGTCAACTTTGTGTCTCTTTACCTTATGACCACAGTTATTCTATAACCTTAACCATGTGGTTATTATTGTAACCACGATGACGAAAGTCCTCTAACCTTAACAAAGTACTCTTATTATTTTAACCCAAATCATGATCTGTCCCAAAACATAACCAAACCTTTACCACAGCATTGTCTCATCATGCACATTGTAGGGGAGCTAATTTAGGAAACAGTCCTATGGGTCACATCATGGGTGGGGACAAATGACCTATATGGTTGTTTAGGTTGGAGGACTGTTACACATTACCCTGAATGAGTGATTTGCATAAGTCATCAGTAGCCTACAGTTAGATGTTATAACCAAGGACAAGAGTGTATGAGAAACAACTCAACTCAACACTCAAACCTATGGTACATCCTGAAGTAATTCATAATTATCAATTCAATTATCAATTCAATTCAATTATCATAACCTGTGCTACAAAAGGGTCAAGACAGGTCACTGACTGAAAAGTTGTTAATGTTTGTGGATATTTGGTTTGTCATTAAGGTAGTCTTTAGGAAATACTTTATTTTAGGGAAACTGAAATTGGTTGTTTATAGAAGAACAAGGATGTGTACCAGCAGATAGTCTTGGCCCTATTTTCGTGAACCCGCAAATGCACCCAGCAGCAGGCCTGTCCAGCACAGACTTGTCAATCACACTTTGGTAATTTCATGGCCAGACTTGACTGATGCACCTGCGACACACTTGGAAACCAGGTGGGATCAGAAAGAATACATTATCATAAATTAATCTGTAGGTTGGCGTCTTAGACGCTGTGAAAATCATGGCCTGTCACATTCACTTTGGTATCCTTTAGGACGCTCCATAACATGATGCACTGACAGTTTGGGAATATATATATATATATATATATATATATATATGTCAATATACATCTGAGAGAGAGAGAGAGAGAGAGAGAGAGAGAGTGAGTGAGTGAGTGAGTGAGTGAGTGGGCATGTTGTTACATTTCATTAGACTTTTAATATAGTCTACATTACAGACTGGATATGAGGTGTATTTTTTAGTCTGATCACTGTCAATTCATTTTTAAGGCAGTTTGTGGACCTAGATTTTTTTTCACAGTCCAGTCAGGTACAGTTTTGTTGAATAGAAATCACCAGTGCCGGTCCAATTGTAAATAGTCCCCCTGTCCCCAGAATATGGACTTCTGAGTTCAACTAGTCAAGTTCTAACAACGAAGTGCGGGAGTCTGAACTGATCTGAACCGTGCAAACGGTCCGAACTAGTTCTCCTGGCCACCCCGCCTCCTCCCCTCAGATTGTCGTATGTTGATGACGTAGAGGTAATGGCCGCTCTCGCTGTGCCGTGCGGGGTGTTTTATTTTCTCTAGAACAGCGACTCAATTAAATGTTTAATATCTATTGTAGACTGTAAAAACAATATCAGCGGGAGAGGGGGTTCTTAACGAAGCAGCGCCGTGTTTAAACAGCTCCGCGTCGGCAAGGTGAATGAAATGTGTGGTATTCAGGAGCTAGCAGAGTGTAGCTCCGCTTTTAGCTTAGCTTCAGGGAAGGCTGCATTGTTAATTGAGAGACAGGCTAGTGTGCTACACTGCCCGCTAATTGCTAAAGCGCCAGTTTCCGGCTAGTTATGCCCTTCATCTAACCGGTTTATTTGTTTCTATTCGTTAAGAAAGATTTGCCGATAAGTGAGGTATGTGCTCGTCGGTTAGAGAGATCTCGTCGCGTTGCTTAGTTATGGGCCTTGTTGCCAACTAGCGCGACCCAGCCATTAGGAGTATTACCGGTGATGTTACGCTGCAGCTGAACTTATGTAATACTCTAGTTGTGTACATGCAAGTAGGTATACCACAAAATCCTTAAGACACATTTGCAGTTCATGAAGTTTTTAGCTCAAACCGCTGGCAGTCGGTAGCTAGCTTGGCGTAAGCTAAGGTTTTTGAATTAGCTGCACCGGAAGCTAATAAAACAGACGCTGCTGTCAGTTATAAATTATAAACACACTGATGAGTGTTATTCTGATATAAAGTTTCATTAAAATTTAACAGAGCAATAATTTTCTCCACTTAGCCAGGTTTTTAGCAAGCTAACCAGGTATTCTTTGCTCAGGCTAAGTTAAAGTATTTAGAGTTCGTTGTGATTCAGTTTCTGTATTGATAAGCCCAATGTATATTGTGCTATATTATGTGTCAATATTAAGTTCTATTTGAAGGTTTTCCATATATAGTTAAGTGTGAGTAAACATTCTTGAACACAGTCACTGAAGGGTAGTTAGTTTGTTATCTCCCTTTATAATTATCCATCCAGATAAACTGTGGGATATGGTTGTTTGCAGTTGGAAACAAAGTTTTATTAGGATATTTTCTTGACTTGTATTCTGCCTTTGATTAGAGACTTCTTTAATGGTCAGTTAATACTCTGAAATCCTATTCTTCCTGGTATATAACCTGGCTGATATGTAGAGATGTTAAATTGACAGATTTTCAATTAAATTTTTAGACTGTTTTTTAACAGACTACTGTTTTTCTGTTTACACCAGAATATTCTCTAATGGATTCTCCTGAAAGCCCTACCCAGTCCCCTCAGTCTCCCGAGGAGGAGGAGAAGGGCCTGTCTGACTGTGAGCTGCTGGATTCTTCTGATGAAGAGGAGGACAGGGTCATTTCAGGCAGTGAGATCATCCGTGAAGAGGAAAATGGAGGGCTGGTGGATGAGGACGAAGAGGAAGAGGTGATGATGAGCCGAGGAAGAACTTTGAACTTAGAGGAGGAGATAGAAGGAGAGGATGAGGTGGTCCCTGACTTTATCTCTGATGAGGAGCCTGGAGGGATCGGGCAGGAGGATGAGACCATTATGCTGATGGAGGGGGATGACGATGGTCCGCAGGGGGGCCAGTTGGATGGGGTGGAGGAGAAGGAAGAAGAAGAGGAAGAGGATAGAGTCATTGACACCCCACAATCTCCAGACTCAGAGCCAGAACAGGTCAAGAGCTTCACTGATGAAGACAATGGAGAAGATAGGGAGCAAGGATACAGTGTCAGTGGCTACAGAAAGGGTGCCTCAGCAGAGCCTGATCCAGTTGAGGTGGATGATGAGGAGGACAAAAGCAAGGCAGAGGAGGAAGAGGAGGATGAAAGGATAAGAGTTGAGGAAGCAGAGAGAAGAAGAGCTGCCGTGAAGGAGATGAAGGACGACTCCGCATCCGTTTCCCGGGAGCTGGATGAGCATGAACTGGATTATGATGAGGAGGTCCCAGAGGAGCCCAGCATCCCTCCACACGAGGAAGAGGAAGATGAAGAAGATGCAGAAGAAGAGGAGAGTGAGGACAAGAGCATTAAGAAGAAGGAGAAGAAACCAATCCTCCCTCCATCTCCCAGAAACAATGAATCTAAGAGAACAGACGATTCCAAAGGGCCCGAGAGGATGGGCAGAGATTCCTTCAGAGACAAGAAGAAGGATGAGGATGATGGAGAGATTGATGAAGGAGAGATTGATGTAAGTGATCATTGCTACATGTTAATCAGTGTGAGGTGATTGGCTGGGTGCAGGTGAATAGAAAAATGCCTTGCATAATCAGAAGTGTGGAAGTTACATGTAGACTGTAATTATGGCTGGACAATAGAGATGTCCCAAGCAGAATGTAGGGGTCTGTATCGGGGTTGATTGTGTTTTGATCATCTCAGCCAGCAAATGTTGAAGCACTGCTCTCCTGCAGCTTACAGTGAATTTCATCCTTAAATGCAAGTGAAAATTAGAGTGTGTGAATGTGAAAAAAATATTTGAGCACACTGGTGTGAGTGACTCTGAATTATGACATCCAGGTTGGCAAAATAACTTAATGATTTGCTAAGCTTTGAATCGCTGTTTCTCATTAGCAAAGAGCAGTGTCTAAAATATTCAGGTAGCAGCGTTCACTGCCACTTTCACAGGTTGAAACAAATGTTGCTGGCAGCAGGTCATGTTTGCTAAATTCCATGAATAACTTGATGACTTGGCTGTTGTCTAGTTTGTGTGCAGCCATAGATCATTTGTCAGGGAAGACACTACACAGTGTAACACTGTTCAGGTGTTTCTATAGTTCCCCTAAACCAAACAGAGTAATCAAGCTGATTATATCAATTTCAGGATTCATAATCTCCCAGTCAACCTTCCTTTCATATCATATCAACAATGTGACCTTATGAATTAATATTTTTTTAATAATATTTTTGAACCTAGACTTTTGGTATTTGGATGAGGCTTGTGAAAAATGAGATGTTACAAAGTAAGTAGGCTACATTTATTATTTCAACGTGTCGGATGCATATCTTCTTTTTCAGTGTTAATCAGTATCAGTATCAGATTGGACTCCGTATCAGCAGTGACCACTTATTATAGGACTCGGATCAGGGCCAAAAACTTAATTGGTAAATTCCTGCTGGAAAATATTTCCAAATTTCTGTGATTATAATTTTGGCCGATACGAGGTACACAGCACGTCCAGAATTTTGATACACTGGGATTGACTTGTTGCTATGATATTTGACTTATGTATGCAGTGCACTCAAGCAGTATATTGAACCTTAATACTTCTACTTAATACCGTCCGAAATGCGTCTATAGTATTGAAAGTTTGCATTGACTGTCCATTCAGATTTATGATCTTGTTTACCTGTTTTTATGCTGTCCTGTTTTATGCTAAGATTTTTCAGATTTTTGACTGTTTTCATTAGGAAAAACTGTCAGACAGCTGCTCGTGTTTAGACACTTTTTCTTTTCTTTTTTGCGTCAACTGGTCATAAAATCTTATCTGGTCCTCATCAAAGTCACAAGTATAGACAAACACAATGTGCTTAAGCGCCAACACCAGTATTTGTAATCCTAAGTGTCTTTTTTATTTATTTTTTCAATATGGACAAAAGTAATACAATTACAATACAACACAATCTGTGTGTAATTAGTTAAATTAGATTGGGTTTGTTTATAATCAACTTAGACAAAAAATCTGACCATATTTTAAAACGATTTTATGCATAAATACTGTTATTCAAATATTTTTATTGATTTTCACATTATACACTCACAGTAGAACTCAATACCCCAGACAAGAGGGAAAGCAAAATAAATAAATAAAAAACTGAAATAAAATACAAATAACAATAATGCTATATTAATATATATATTAATATTGATAGTAATAATGATAATTGAAAATAAATGAAAAATCAAGAAAATAAAACAGATATGTTACTCAGTATCAACAAAGTAGTCATACATACACGCATACATGTATATACACACATAACTGCATATACAGAGTAATATATAAACACAAAAACAAAAAAAAAGGGGGGGGGGTGGCTACACTATGTTAAGGGGAGTTCATCTTCAAAGTACGATAGAAATGGTTGCCAGACTTTATAATATCTATGGGTAGTGCCCCGGGCAGTGTATTTAAGTTGTTCAAGTTTGAGGTGGAACATCACGTCCTTCACCCAACGCCTATGAGAGGGGGGCATGACCTTCTTCCAACTAAGGAGTATCAGACGTCGAGCTAGCAGAGTGGAGAATGCTATAGCCTCAGCCTGGTGCCTAGATATTGGTGTCTCCTGAGGGACGACCCCAAATAATGCAGTCAATGGGTTGGGATTGATTACTTTATTAAACATGTATGAAAATGTATCAAATATATTTGTCCAAAATAGATCTAGTTTCGGGCAAAACCAAAACATATGACTGAGGCTAGCTGGGTCTTGCCTGCATCTGACGCAAGTTGGGTCTAAGCCAGGGTAGAGTTTGGCTAGCTTACTTGCAGATAAATGTAGCCTGTGCAGAACCTTAAATTGCAGCAGCCCATGTCGAAAACACATTGAGGAAGAGTGTACCAATGTAATTGCTGCCTGCCAGTTTACATCTGACATGATGGTTCCTAATTCTTCCTCCCACTGCCTTGCCAAACGGTTAAGTGATACGACGGCAACCCTCTGGATATTACCATACAACACAGACACCAGACCTCTGTCAACTGGATCCATGGTCAGACATTCATCTATCCATGTACTCTAAGGGGTTGTCAAAGAGAAGTGTTTTATAACATAACTCCGCACCTGTAGATATCTAAAGAAATGTGACTGAGGGATGCTGAAGTCTGTCTTTAGCTGTTCAAAGGAAATGAGGTGCCCTTCCTTAAAAAGGTCCATCACACATTTAATCCCTCTCCTATGCCACAATTGAAAAGATGGATCTGTGAGAGATGGGGCAAAATTGATGTTCGCTAGAATAGGGGAAGTGACAAGAGCTTGTTTATGCTTAAAATTAATCCTAAACTGCGACCATCTTCAGGCAGCCAGAAATTATTGGGTTGTTCGTCATGCTGTTAATTTAAAAGGGCTCACTTACTTTTTCTTGCCACTGTAACTTTGGCTTATTTTGTTTAATGAACCAAAGGGTAAAGTTTTGTAGAAAATCATACACCCTGTGGTCACTGTATTAGATACACCTTTCTAATACCTCCTTTTGTTTCCGGATCAGCTTGAAGTCTTGGTGGTTGGTACATTCCTTACAGATTCTGGTCCATGTTGGCATGACAGCATCATGCAATTGCTTCATGATCCCAGTCCACCACATCTCAGAGGTGTTGTACTTGACTGAGATCTGGTGACTGGGAAGGCGACAGGATTAAACTGTGCTCATTGGCATGTTTGTGGAACCAGCTTGAGGTAGTGGGCACTTTGTGACATGGTGGATTATCCTGCTGAAAATTAGAAGATGTGTAGATTGTGTCAATAAAGAACACACTTGGTCAATAGCAGTGGTCGGGTTTCGGCTGTGCCATATAAATCATACTCAGGGGCCTAATGTGTGCCATGAATATATTTCCCACATCATTACACCATCACCCTGAACTGTTGACACAAGACATGATGGATTCAGTCTGACCTTACCATCTGCATCTGTTAACAGGAGTTAAACCTTCTGTTGCTGTTCTCCATGTGCTTCAAGGTTTGATGTGTTGCAGATTCAAAGACACTCTTCTGCATTGCACAGTTGTAATGTGTGGTCATTTGAGTTGGGTAGTCTTTGTTTTCTGTTTTGTTGGTTTTTGTGAGCAGTTCTGGTTTGTTGTCACTGACCATTGTTCCCTAGGTTAGAAAAACCAACCAACCAATCTGAGCTTTGATGGATTACAGCTCATGACGAGTCACCAGAGCCAGGAAAATGTCTATATTCATGAAAGATAGTGACAGAAAAATGGCAACAACCATTGATAAGGTTGTCACAGCTGTTAAGGTTGTCTTAAGTTGACATACCGATAATAACATGAACATTAACTGCTGAAAGTGATAAGCCATCTGCTTTCCTCTTAAGTCACCCTGCATTACACTGTATGTGAGGTCCTAAACCCTGAGACACTATAACCAGTGGCTGTACTATGTCATTACACACCAAACAAACATATCAGAATATGTCTGATATAACATGTCTGATTGACTGATTAAGTGTTGCTTTCATCAAATGGATTTTCAAAAAATTTTCACAACAAATGAAAGTTTGCTTAAAGCACAATTAAACAACAATTATTAAAATAGAACAAATAACCTTTGGCTGGTTGATCTATCGAAAATAATTCAATGAATTAAAATTTAAATTTTTGTCTGTGTAAAATCTCTAAATTGTGAAAATTAAGTTATTACAGTGCACACATAAAAGTAACTTTCTGTCAAAAAGTAATGTTGATTAATAACTATCTTGAGTTAAAACAGTCCTGCTAACTGTGATGTGAGTAGTTACACTATATGTGTAACTGCTGCAGGTTACAGGACTGTTTTGACTGCAGTTGGCAAGCTGACTATCTCATAATGAAATTGATGATGACGTTTCGAAGAGGGACAGACTGACAGAACACTGCGTATTGATCTGAGCTCATGGTCTGTGTTTGTTGATGAGGGATCATTGATCGTTAGAAGAGTTGGACTGCTGGGAGGTGTCTAAACAGTCTATCTTCTGGGTAGCTAACTAGCCAGCTGTCTGCAGATATCATCAGGGGCAGATGGTGAGTTACTGTGTGGACTTACTGTCATGTCTGTTTGATCTAATATTCTTCTTATACTTGGTTGAAATATCTGATACTGACAGGCCATAGCTGTAGGGGATAACATGTATTTTTTTGAAGAAGAATAATGGTGACAATAGGTCCTTTATAATTCTGTCTTTCACCTGATGTACTAGAACTAGATCTGATATTTCAACCCTGCATTTTGCAGGAAAGAATGATTTAAAACTGTGAACTGACCCCAAGCATGAAAAAGAAATATAGATTGAACCAAGCTTAGAGTAACTGCCACAATTAACTTTAAGTAGGATGTTACAATTATCCTTGGTTTGTCAAAAAACATTTCTGAAACTTGTGTCTTCTGGTGTAGGGCCACTACACCAGAAGGGCCACTGTGTCCGTAGCATATTTATAACAGTACTGTTGGTTTTGCCTCAGACCTTTAGAAACCAAGATAAATACAAACCAATGACTTATGGAAATGGTTGTTGTCAACTCCATCATCTTTGGTTACTTCCGATTTTTTCACACTCTGGATTAGGGATGGGCAATTGAAGACATTTCCTTATTCAATCATTGGAAAAATTAACGATCAATTATTGATTCATTACTAAAATTTTTTTTTTTTTTAATTAAAAAATGCCTGTGGCAGAAAATACTAAAGAAAGCCTCTTTTTCCTCATTGAAATTAAATTGCGCCCCGGCTGGTTGCTGCCACGTAGTGAAATTCATTGCATTGCTTCAAGACACACTACACAACACAACCTCGTTGATACACACGTTAGATCGATCAGATTCCACATGATCAACAAAATTCTTAACGATCAATTATCAATCATCGACAAATCCTGCCCACCTCTACTCTGGATTCAACCATCATCCCACAGCTTGCTTCCTGGTCATCCTGCTGTCCTCTACATTTTGCAATAAACACACTGAATGCAGTGTGGCCATTGGCCACTAGGCAGGACTAACACCTCTTAATATTCAAATGCAGCTGACTGCCTGTTTTTGCCGTTGATGTTTAGGGTCAGTGATATCAATCATCTGTCAATGATAGCAGTCAGTGCAGGAACTCTGAAGCAGCTGTGCAGGGCGAGACATGGTGAAAAAGCTTTAATAACAATATAATGGTTAGGACAGCGTTCTGTAGCTATGTTTTAATCCTCAGCTTTGAGACACAAATAGACTCACCCATTGATTCACTGAAGCAGGCACAAACCAAGTTGATTTAAAAGTAATTTTTATGTTTATGCCTCAATTAAAACATGTTTTCACTGGGTGATAAATAGTGTGATTAAATAAGCAGATTTTCCTTCAGTAAATCTGAGGCAAGGAGCTGTTATAATAATCAGTATAAACCCATTCTTCATTGCACTCTTTAGCTTATACTCCTTAAATTACATATTCATCAGTTCTATGGCTCACCTTGATCCCCTGGGAAATCCCCGCAATCAAGTAGTAAATATAGTTCTGGAAAATGTGTGTGTGTGAAATACAAATAAGGTGCTCTTCAAATGTTTAATCTTTCACATGATTACTAGGTAGGACACCTACGATTTGTCTTATTTTTCAGTAAGATGCTTTAGAGTGACATGATTTTCCTTGTGTGGGCAGGATGATGACCTGGAGGAGGGGGAGGTCAAAGATCCCTCAGACAGGAAGATCAGACCACGTCCCATCTGCAGGTTCTTCATCAAAGGTAAGTGGAAGAGATCAGGTCCTACTCCAGAACTAGACCCATATAACAGCATGGCTGATATTATTAGCTGCTTAAAACATATGACAGGTATACAGGTGCATCTCAAAAAATTAGAATATCATGGAAAAGTTAATTTATTTCAGTAATTCAAGTCAAAAAGTGAAACTCATATAGATTCATGATATACAGAGTGAAATATTTCAAGCCTTTATTTCTTTTAATTTTGATGATTATGGCTTACAGCTAATGAAAACCCAAAATTCAGTATCTCAGAAAATTTGAATATTACATAAGACCAATAAAAAAAGAGGATTTTTAATACAGTTGGCCTACTGAAAAGTATGTTCATGTATATGCACTCAATACTTGGTCGGGGCTCCTTTTAGATGAATTACTGCATCAATGCGGCGTGGCATGGAGGCGATCAGCCTGTGGCACTGCTGAGGTGTTATGGAAGCCCAGGTTTCTTTGATAGCGGCCTTCAGCTCATCTGCATTGTTGAGTCTGATGTCTCTCATCTTCCTCTTGACAATACCTCATAGATTCTCTATGGGGTTCAGGTCAGGTGAGTTTGCTGGCCAATCAAGCACAGTGATACCATGGTCATTAAACTAGGTATTGGTACTTTTGGCAGTGTGCCAAGTCCTGCTGGAAAATGAAATCAGCATCTCCATAAAGCTTGTCAGCAAAAGGAAACATGAAGTGCTCTAAAAATTTCCTGGTAGACGGCTGCGTTGACTTTGGACTTGATAAAACACAGTGGACCAACACCAGCAGATGACAGGGCTCCCTAAATCATCACTGACTGTGGAAACTTCACACTGGACTTCAAGCAACTTGGATTCTGTGCCTCTCCATTCTTCCTCCAGACTCTCGGACCTTGATTTCCAAATGAAATGCAAAATTTACTTTCATCTGAAAAGAGGACTTTGGACCACTGAGCAACAGTCCGGTCCTTTTTCTCCTTAGCCCAGGTAAGACGCTTCTGAGTAATGCAACAGTTGTAGCCCATGTCCTGACGCACCTGCACTGACTCTAACCTCAGTCCATTCCATGTGAATCTCCCCCAAATTCTTGAATGGCCTTTCCTTCACAATCCTCAAGGCTGCGGTTATCCCTGTTGCTTGTGCACCTTTTTCTACCACACTTTTTCCTTCCACTCAACTTTCTATGAATATGCTTGGATACAGCACTCTGAACAGCCAGGTTCTTTAGCAATGACTTTTTGTGGCTTACCCTCCTTGTGGAGGGTGTCAATGACTGTCTCCTGGACAACTGTCAAGTCAGCAGCCTTCCCCATGATTGTGTAGTCTACTGAACCAGACTGAGAGACCATTTAAAGGCTCAGGAAACCTTTGCAGGTGTTTTGAGTTAATTAGCTGATTAGACTGTGACACTGTGAGTCTACAATATTGAACTTTTTCACAATATTCTGATTTTCTGAGGTACTCAATTTTGGGTTTTCATTAGCTGTAAGCCATAATCATCAAAATTAAAAGAAATAAACGCTTGAAATATTTCCCTCTGTGTATAATGAATCTATATAATATGCGAGTTTCACTTTTTGAATTGAATTACTGAAATAAATTAACTTTTCCATGATATTCTAATTTATTGAGATGCACCTGTATTGGTAGCTGTAAGAAAAAGAACCCTATGGAATTATCTGGTTTTCTGCATCAATGAGTCAAAAATGTGATCTGATCTGATCTTCACGTAAATCATAAGGATGGATAAACAATGTGCTCAAGCTAGTACAACACAAACAATTCTAATTAAAATTAAATAATTCTAATCCTCCATGTCTTTATTGAACACAACCATTAAAACATTCACAGTGCTGGTGGAAAAAGTAAGTGGACCCTTGGTTGAATCTTCTTTGGCAGCAATAACCTCAAACCAGCTCTTCATTAGCTGCTGATCAGACCTGCACAGAGCTGCTTCAACTCAGACGTTCTCAGGATGTCTGATGTGAGCATCTCTTGAGGTTATTTTCTGTCAGATTATAAAGTCTGTGCTCTGACTGGGCCACTCCAAAAGGTGGATTTACTGTTTGAGGTCATTCTACAGTAGATTTACTTTGATGCTACAGCAGACACCCTGACATTATCATGTAAGAGACCTTGATAAACTTTGGAATTCATTCCCCCCTTAATGATGTTGAGCTCTCCAGGCCCCAACCCTCCACTGTACTTCACCTTTGGGGTGGTATTCCCATGGTTGTATGCAGTGTCCTATTTACATCATACATAGTGCTGCATGTTCTTCCCAAAAAAAATCTGCCTTAGTTTCATGAGTCCACAAAAGTTTTCCCAGCAGCACTGTAGAATGTCATGGTGCTCTTTGGCAAACTTAAGGCATGCAGTGTGGGTTCCTCCGTGGTGTCCTGCCATGGACGCCCACTTCTAGAGAGAGTAGCCCCCGAACTAAATCATCTCAATTTATAAACCTCTTGCATAACCATGCACTGATGAATATATTAAGTCTTTGAAATCACTTTGTAACCCTTTCAGCTTTATGCAGATCAATAGTTCTTGATCCTAAATCTTCTGAGATATTTTTGGCAAGGTTTGGTTCAGATCAGCAAATGCTCCTTGTGAATATCAAAATCAAAATGTAACGCCATGTTTGATAACTCCTTACTCCAATTAGATTTTGATGATGTCATTAGCCGAAGAGTTCACATACTTTTTCCAACCTACAACCAGAGCAATACAAAGATTAGTGTGTTATTAGGTAAAATTGATTGTGTTTCTGATCTGATCATATATTAAGATAAGTACATGAATGCAGGTAATTCCAAAGGGTTCACTTACTTTTTCTTACCACTATACATGAGCTGATGAGTAACAAGAAATTACTGTGCCACATTGGTAAAGGTATGTCTCAGGTCATTTAGGAAAAGATTAGTCATTACATAGTTTGTCCACCAGGGAGCACTGACAAGCATTTAAACAGTAAAATATCCTGCTTAGTGCACATCTGGGTCAGAAATCGGAAATAACTGTGTTTAAGGGATCCATGTGGAAAACATTTGATATTAAAACTATGTTTCTTCCATTAAAGTGGGGAACCATTGGAATAAAAGCTTTTACAATTGTTGCTGAACTAGAGACTGACTGTTGTCTGTTCATACAATAGTCTTTTTTGTCATAAACTTGGATCTGTTCTGATCTGAATGTAATATCTTAATAAACAAAATTCTCTATTGTGGTTTTTTTTTATCTCTGACATGTTTTAGGAAATCAGTTTTAGAATTTGTATTTGTACATTAACAGATGAGGATGAAGCCACCACAGGCAGATAGATTCTGTTTCTGAGGCAAGCTCACGAAAGATAAACGTAAAGATAACAGACTTTGACCTTTGTTAAGTTTTGATACAAAAACACAAAGACTACTGTAAAGTAGGGGTGGGCGAAAGGATCATATCACGATTTTTTAAAAATAAAATCACGATTTCGATTTTATCACGATCTTAAATTGGAAAAAGAAAAACAGACAATTTAGACCAAAGAACCTTTCTTAACAGATTTTATTTCAAATAGTCGCAGTTTTGCCTGCATGTGCAAAAAACGTAAAGTTTAAGGTAAACAACAACAACATTCTAATAAAGCGCACTCTTGCAAAAGTAGTAACAGAAAGTAAAATATCAATCAAAGACATTACTGACAGTCATTTAAACAGGATTTATTTCTCAAAACACTAAATAGCTTATTGAAACGCAAAAATATAAACTAAAGTGACTGTGGTTATCTCTTTTAGTGCAACAGTTGCTAGTGCTTTAGTGCTTCCTCTTCAGGTGATTAAACAGGTTCGTCGTGTTACCACCCGACGTGCGAACGGTTTCTGTGCAAACTTTGCAAATTACATTTGCTTGCGCTTGATCAGTTGCGGAAAATCCAAAACAATTCCATATAATGGAGGTGGAATTTTTTTTAGCGACCGACTCCGTTTGGCTTTCAGCCATCGCTCTCCATGTGCTACCGCTACACACACAAACAAGGAGGCGGGTAGGAAAGTGCGTCACTGCCCGTAATTCGCTATGATTGGTCGGTCAGGTTGACGACGTCAATACGTCTGGTGCGTCGGTGCATCAGCATAGAACTGCAATTTATAGAATGTGCCCTAGACGATCCCACGATCTCTGCATTTTGAAAGATCGTCTTCACGTTGTAATCCTTCACGATCTAATATTGTCATATCGCCCACCCCTACTGTAAAGTGATGTGTCAGGGAACGAGCTGTTAACACTTGTTATGCAGGTTGTTCTACAGCAGGGGGAGTTGTCATACTTAACATTGATCCAGTTTATTTTACCTGCTGCCTTCAGTAAAGCATGTCCTCAATAATAAACAAGGCACTTAAAATATAGACTGAAAATGATTTTAAATCAGTTTTCAGTCATGAGGAAATATAAAGGTTCACTATTGTTCATTTTGTTACCAATCTGTAAGTGATAAATAGACAATCAGGATATTAATTTCTATATTGGTCCAATATATTTTTCACTGCTGGTATTCTGTCAGGTGTGGAATTGCTTCTTAAAAGTGATTTGAAACTGGGTTTTTACTACGATTACAAATCCAGATAAAGAATACATATTGATTGATGATTTAGGATATCTCATGTTGTCTCAAAAGACCATATTGTTTCATCCATAACAGAAACTATATTTACAGTCAAAGTTGGCTTTTTCAATGTTCTTAAGCAACATCTTAAGCAATGTTTTTTTTCTCACTCTGGGTAACATACTGTTTGCTGTTTCTTATCCAGGAAATTGTACTTGGGGTATGAACTGTAGGTTCATCCACCCCGGAGTCAATGACAAAGGTAACTATTCCCTCATCAGTAAACCAGACCTCTTCTCACCTAATGGAGGGCCTCCTGGAGGACCACATCCACTCATACCCAATAATCCCTGGGTACGTCTCTCTCCCACCACTCTGCATAAAAACTGTGTATTTCATCTGTATGTTTTTGAAGAGATTGTGCACAGATTTCTGTTACACTGCTGTAGTATGTAAATACTCATAAATCATAAAGATAAAAAAAATGGATTAGAGTTCAAATGCTCAGGAACTGGATCTATGTGACTGGGCCTCTCTGTGTGAGCATGTTTGCTAATGTAGACAAACCAACAAATTAATTTGCCACTGTTTTAGGCTGCGCCTGCAGTGGAGGAGCTCCCTCCCCCTCCTCCTCCAGTGGAGCCTCCTGTGGAGAGTGCCTGGGAGAGAGGTCTGAGGCATGCCAAAGAGGTAAGTGCATCCACTGCCTCTCATGGAAACAGCAGTTCCATTTGGTTGTGTGTGTAAACTAACTGTCACGTAGGGCTGTTTGTTTAATGACGCTGTGGATCGAACGGAAGAGCTTTTTATTGCACCCCTAGTTTACTAGTTCTACAGTTTGTAAAATTTTATCTTTGTAATTGATAAGTATTTTTAAAGCACATTTTATGAGGCAAATGTGTTTTGATCTTTCTTATCGCACAATATTTTCTGTGAAAAAAACTTTCTTTTAGTGATGCCAACAAGCAGTTTTTCACCTGTTTGTCCAAAGCTGCAACTGCCACAATAAAATACAACTCAGTTGATAGTTTATTAGATACATTTAGCTAAAACTAATGCAGTTTTAACAAAAAGCCCTGCAATAAATCATCCGTCATGAAGGTTCAGTTTTTATTGAAATTGATTTACAGACATATTGATTAAACTGTGATCATTTTGGAGGATGTAGTGTGTGGAGCTGTTCAGCTGCATTGGCTTGTACAGGTATAGTTCCTTTTTGCTGCTATTTGGAGCCACCAGGGAGAAGTTACCCACTGCAGGTTGTTCTGTGCCCCATAGGTGCTGAAGAAGGCCACCATCCGTAAGGAGCAGGAGCCGGACTTTGAGGAGAAGCGTTTCAACGTGACCATTGGAGAGGATGAGAGAGAATTTGACAAAGAGAACGACTTTTTCAGAGAACGCAGCTACCGCATCATTAGAGAGTACGACTTGCTCATATTGATTCATCAGCTGAAACCAATCATATCATAGATGCAAAGCACATAGAACTGCTCCAGAATCTTGCAGGAGTAATTAGATCTGTGTCTAATCTTTAATGAAACCATTTTCCCTGCCGTTACCACTGCACGGGCTAAAATGTGATTCTCTTTTTTTCTTTTTCTGTCTCTCTCACAGACACCCTCCTTAGTCACAGGTTTCATGACGTAAATTAGAACAAGACCAACCACATCAAGTTCAACCTACAACAATATAATCAGGGATCTTTTATTAATAATGTGTGTAGCAACAAACATCGGGGTTGTCAGTACCTCCAGCTCTGAAGTACAAGCTGTGTGCAAAGCCTTTTCTCTCTGTTTCTTAAAGTAAATCAAAATATAACTTTTCTTAGTCAAACAATCACATCAGACTCTTCACAATTGAAGTGAAGTTTGGCGAGATGACACACTACAGATTAAGTCCAACACATGTCAAATACATGTATTGTACCGAGATGAACATTATAGTGATATAATATAACATAATAGTAAATAAATAATGGAGCTAAAGAAAGACTCCTCCCAAGATTTGACCCTAGGTGACCTACCCTGTCACGCTTTTCAACCACCTCGGTCACGGCTTTCAGTGAACCTGAAAGATGCAGTTAGTCAATCCAGTTTCTGTATCTATTATTGTCATTATCATATTATCATTGATAGTAATATGTTTTTCTTTTTTCAGTGAAATGGACTTCAGAGATCCAATCTATGGGTAAGTGTTGTATAAAGACCAAAACACAAAACAGCCGAACATGTCAAAACAGCCAGTCCTATTTTCTTCTATGTAAAGCCCCTATACTGATGGCAGTGGCGGCGTCGAGGCACGCAACGCCCCATGACACATTGAAAAGACACTTTTCTTTTCCAGAGAATGTGACTCATTACAAAGACAACAAAGTCGACACATGAATTTGAGTCGACGTCTCCAGTTGTCTGCGGCACCATTGTGTTTTTAGCTTAACTTAGACGGCCTTAAGAAAACAACTCATGTCAGTTTTGTGTAACTTATTAGAACTGAAATCATATCGAGGCCTCGATACATGCAGACACACCAGAGTTATAATGCTTGGTTTATGTAAAACATCAAAAACTGCATGTTTTGATAAGCAGGTGTAATTGGATATGTAATGTGTGTGCCAAAATTTGAAATGTTTTTTTTTTTCTCATTCTGGAAAATCTCATGTCTTATGCAAATTTGTAAAAATGCTACTTTGCACAAATGTGTGTAGTAACCTTTGTTGGGTATCATTCAATTTCTCAAATGTGTTTCCCTGTGCAGTGACCCATATAACGATCCATACTATGACTATGAAATGGAGGCCCTTTGGCGAGGTGGCCAGTATGAAAACTTCAGAGTGCAGTACACAGAAGCTCCTCTTCCTTACCACTACAGTGTGAGTACCTTCCATACGCTGCTCGAAGTGAGAAGTGATCGGGGCAACCAAATATTCGAGTGGTTAGGGCGCATACCATGTGGGCGCATATGCCCTGAGCAGTGAGTCTCCGGTTCGACTCCTGGCTGGCTGGACTGCTGCATGTCATTCCCCTGTTCTCCGTGCTCACCTTTCCTGTCTTCACTCTTGACTTCATAACTCTTGACATCATCTTCACTGTCCTATCAAATAAAGGCACATAAATGCCCAAAAACTATGAAAAGAAAAAACCCCAAAACAATGCAAAAGTGTCTTTGTGTTAAAGCGGAAGTGCATTGGATGGCACAACGCCACAAGAACAGTCTCATATTTTTCTTGTTGTTAACATGTAAGTTTAATTTCTCAAGAAAGCTTTAACATAGGCAGCATCCATGTAGATCAAAGAGCAACTGAAATAATACCTTTGGTGATATTCTCCATTAACTTCCATGAACCCAAACCAACACTGATAACACCATAATAACAATCCTGATCCTCTTCCTCTGTGCCAGAACTCTATTGATGTGCAGAGACTATTAAACACATCATTGAGCCAGGCTGCAGGTTGCACTGGCTGATGTATATCCTAATTCCCAGATACCTCATCCTCACCCTCATCCAGAAATAATCACTGCAGCACCAAATGTAGCAAAAAATAGTCCTCAGTAAATTCGCTGTTTCTTTTCAAAATTAACTTTTCAAACGTCGCCTTTTTTTCTTTTTTCTTTTTTTTAACAAAATTAAATTAGTCTGTGAGTCTTTCTTTTAGAAATGAAACTATATATTTGTGAGTTGGAGACATCAGTAGAATGAATGAGTGCAGCAGACAGGGCATGGAAGCCAAAAAGTATTGTGAGATGGTCAAACAAATTGTTGGTTTTGGTCTTTTGATGACATTTATTCACAACTCAGAGTAATGGCAGTTGGTTTTCTGTGTGAGTGCCATTAAATAGCACGTTTTCAGTCAGATAACTGTGCACGTCCATCTCGACAGGAGCGCGAACGCGACCGCGACCCTCAGGAGCGGCATCGGGACAGAGAAAGGGAGCGGGATCACCGTGAGAGGGAGCGCCGGCAGAGAGAGAGGGAGAGGGAAAGAGAGCGGGAACGCGAGAAGGAGCGAATGCGACGGAAAGAAGAGTGGGAGAGGGACCGGATGAAGCGGGATGAGAAGGAGAGGCCGAGGATGCGTCCGCCTCGAGACGCCAGGGAGAAGAAAGACGAGGACAAACTGAAACCACGCTCTCCCCTCAGCTTGCCACCCAAGTAAGTCAAGTTTCAGCTGGCTCTGGGTTGATTGTTTTATTTGGGAGAAATTTTTTTATGTTATGTTTTGATACACCAGAAAGGCAGGCATGCAAATAGAGGTAGAAAATGGTTTCAGTAGAACTTCCTTGAATTGTAATGAAATAGTGGAGTTTCTCTTTGCCCAGGATATAGGCCCTGACATTTAAAACGTCAGAGAAATGATAAAGGGTTTTATACCACGTCATGTTCTTTCCAAGCACAGAGCAACAGTAAATAAGGCCATCGGAAAGGTAAACTCCCCCAATGTGTTTGTAATAATCCACTACAGCATCAGGGGTTGGATGTGTTGGAACTGCCATATTCCAGTGTCCGTCACTCTCCTGCTTCATTCCATTGTGTGCTGTTTGCAATGTGCTGCACAGGGTCACCTCTGTTGTTCAGCTTTACAAAGAGGAGGTGGTTCTTCCGTAACCACCTGAAATCACCTCTCATAGCATCTTTGGCCAGGTCATTGGTAGCAATCTTTTGGAAACCTATGTGCTTTTTGCACACTTTATTGTATTGTAGATAGGGATGTCACGATAACAGAAATTTAGTAGTCGATACCAAATACCAGTGAAATTCCACGATTCTCGATATCTATTTCGATACCACGGTAAAAAACAAAAAAAAAACACAATAAATTCCATGTTCTTTCTCTTTCACTCGAATACGAATAAAAAAAACTAAAAACGAAGAACAGTGGCATGTAGCCTTCAAGAATTTAAAATAAACAGTACTGTGCTAAAATATAAACAATCAACTTTTTTTCAACTTCTGGTTTGGAAAGTGTGAAGGCACCGTTTACAAACGGGCTTTTGCGGGTCTATAATCAAACCCTCACCATCCGCTTCGAAAGCAAAATATTTCCATACAAAATAAATTAGGGGTGGGCGATATGGCAAAAATATCATATCACGATTTTTTAAAACTAAAATCACGGTTTCGATTTTATCACGATTTAAATTGGAAAAAGAAAAACAGACAATTTAGACCAAAGAACCTTTCTTAACAGATTTTATTTCAAATAGTCGCAGTTTTGCCTGCATGTGCAAACAACGTAAAGTTTAAGGTAAACAACAACAACAGTCTGGTTCGTCGTGTTACCACCCGACGTGCGAACGGTTTCTGTGCAAACTTTGCAAATTACATTTGCTTGCGCTTGATCAGTTGCGGAAAATCCAAACCAATTCCATATAATGGAGGTGGAATTTTTTTTAGCGACCGACTCCGTTTGGCTTTCAGCCATCGCTCTCCATGTGCTACCGCTACACACACAAACAAGGAGGCGGGTAGGAAAGTGCGTCACTGCCCGTAATTCGCTATGATTGGTCGGTCAGGTTGACGACGTCAATACGTCCGGTGCGTCGGTGCATCAGCATAGAACTGCAATTTATAGACAGTGCCCTAGACGATCCCATGATCTCTGCAGTTTGAGAGATCGTCTTCACATTGTAATCCTTCACGATCTAATATCGTCATATCGCCCACCCCTAAAATAAATATATATATATTTCTTTCGACGAGCCAAGGTGCTGCAGCTCTTCCATTTGCTATTGCGGCTAGACTGCAGCTTGGTCGTGGACGTTCCTCATCCTCCCTCGGGCAGAGGCAGAGCATTTGCCGGAGAAACTGTGCTTAAATGTGTTCCGAGTCACTCAAATGTTGCCAGTGATGCAATAATCAGTGTTAATGTTCTTTACATGTTTCTGGTAGATTACTGTCACTTTTGAGGTAAGACACTTTTGCACCATGAGATAAGTTGCTCATACAGCTAATGACATCCTGCTTGTGAGCAATGAGACCTGATATGCAAGCGGGTGTGACGAGCACTCATACATCTTCCTCCCTCAATAGGATGTCAATCTTCTGTTACTTCCTAAGAGGGTGACTATCAATCTTGTCACGTGTACCATGAAAAAACATCCCGTTTTTTGCCACGTGGTATCGACTTGGTACCGAAGTATTGGTTCTGGTGACGACCCTAGTCGTAGATTTGATGAAAACATGTTTTTAGTAGGGATGCTGCGCTCACAATTTTTTGCCACTGAAACAGATCATCTGAGTTAGATCGGATGATCATGGTCAATACCGATCATTTTTGCCATGCATTGCCAGTCTCATACACTTTAAATTGCACACAGCTGACATGTTGTTTTGTTTTGTTGGCCTGTCGTGTATTGAACAAGGTTGGAAGCGGAACTACACTACACATCACACAGTGCTTCTCTCAGCCGCAGGCACCAAAGTATGAACCTCAGGTGATCGATTTTCAGGTGATAGTATTTTTCATGAAAATCATCCGATAATAATCGACGGCTGATCAGTCAGGGCATCTCTAGTTTTTAAAAATATTTTGCATTTTTTACAGTAGTATTCAGACTCTCCTGTGGTCAGGTACATCCTCCTTGACTGGAGTTCATCTGTGGCAAATAGAATTCTTTGCAGTAAATCCAACCTTCATGAAGGTTATGATGTTCAATTGTTCTCTGTGCAGTTATGTTGACAGACTATATCTGCCACCCTACACTGGTATTTGAGTCAAATTCATTTGCAAAAAAAAAGAAAACACACAAAAGACAAAGTTAATGGTTGGTAGATTAGATGTTAGTCGTTAGTGGCAGCCCTAAGGATGAATTCGACTGATATTTTTTTCAAAATTTCTATAGATATCACAATAATATGGTTATTGTGAATTCTTTTGACCATAATAATTGTGCGATGAAACAGTGTCACAAACACAAATATGAATATGAGCGATATGATAAAAGTTGTGTTAAACATTTTTATAGAGACTTGCCATAATGTTTGATTACTTGACCTCATAGGAATGAGATATGCAAGAATGGGGAACTTAAACAATACGGGGAAGCATTTTAAAGTTGCACTTCCTCGTCTTGTCATGTTTTTGTTTGACTGCTCGTCAGCTGATGAAATGTTTGCTGCACACAATGATTACCATGTGGCATCTCCTGCTAACAAACATCATGTCATCTTCATATAGAATTAATATTTTTTTAATATCTTTTAATTTGGGGTATAAACTGTGTAAAGATACCAGTTCTTGTACAGCAAAGAGAATCCAGTGTGATTTCTAAAGTCCAATATTTAGTGTCAGTCAGTCAAACATATGCTGTTACTTACTTACTACTAACCCTACTAAGCCAGCTAATTTAAAAAAATTGTTTGCATAAATAATGAAGAAAGGAAAACAGAAAATGTTTGGTGAGAAGAACCATCAGTTAAAACAGAAGCAACACCAGAAAAAATACAACCAATCATAATCTGTGAATATGAAGCATATACAGGACAGAGACAGAAAATATTTTTTGTATGTCATAACATAAGATGTGTACCCCTATTTACAGTGCCTATATAAAGTCATCATACCTTGTGAAAATCTTTACCTTTTGCCAGATTACACCCTGGAAATTAAAATTAAAAAAGTCTTAACTTTTTTTAGCTGTATGTACAAGTTATAACCCTCATAATCAAAGTGAAAATAACATCTTAAAAATTCTGGACAATGTATTAAAAATTAATTGGTGAAATTAATTTTTCTAACACTGATATTCTACTTTTGCTTTTCTTAATATTTTTCAATATTGATGCTGTGTAGGAAAATTAGTGAACAAATCTGGAACATTTTTTTCATAAATTGGGTTTTGATTTCAACTTGTACAACAAATATAGCAACTATTTTAAATGGGTATGTATAGGCACTGTATTTGAATTGCATTACGTGTGTTTGATGTAACCCAAGTGTGAGAAACCTGCATATCCTACTAAAACACACCATAACCACACACACAGTCTTAGATTACTGCTATAAAGAAGGGGCACAGAGCACAGACGATGGAAGAGGTACTCAGATTCTTTAGAGTACTACAAAGTCGAAACACTGAACTGAAAGTAAAAGTCCTGCATTCTCAAGTATTATTAGTAGTATTTACATCTGTTACATTATTGCATTACTTTTACAGATGCATTAATGTGTCAGTTAAATATCATCATTCTGTCATCATTGTATCTTTTTGGCTGGACCGCAACAGCGGGGTCAGCCCTATAATTGCAAATGTGACTGACTGACTGACTGATGGTACTTTTACCACTTCTCAGCCGAGCCACAGTCTACCGAGCTGCTCTGGTTTCCCGGCTGCTCAGGAACTGCAGGGGAGTGTTGGGAGCACAGCTAAACATCTAACACACCGAGCAGAGAGAGCAGGAGGGAGGGAGGGAGGGAGAGAGAGAGAGAGAGAAGTCATCTATAACACGGCTTTGTACTAACGTCTATGACCAATTCTGCAAACAGAGAGTTAGACATAAAGACCTGCCTCTAATAAAAGTCTGGAGTTCTGGAGTTGAAAGTAAATAAAAGCTAAATTATTGTGAATCCCAGACAGAGGCTGTGAGCTGTGTGAAAGACAAAAAAAGAATTATAGCCTGGCTTTAGGCGTGCTTCCTGGTAGCTCACTTGTAAAGCGTTGTGTGTGCGTGGTCTCTCTCTCCAATTTCTTTGTCTCTCTTTCTCACTATGACTGTAATAAAGGCAAAAGCCTGAAAAAATAGCTTAAAATAGATAAGATAAGATAGTCTTTGTATTTCTTTTCGATTGGGGGAAATAAGTATTCAACACATCAACAATTTTTTAATTCAACATATTTCCATTGTACCTTTTCACATAAGATTTTGACCAGACATTGGTGTTACCTCAATAAAACTGCACAACTAAAGAAATTGTAACATTCCAATCCATAAAAAAGTTATGTGCAATAAAGTGGAATGACACAGGAAAAAAGTATTGAAACACAGAAAGAAAAATCACTAAACCAGCTTATTCCACTAATAAGTTTTCCCACCAGTGCTAATTAGAATCAGCTGGGTTAGCGCATGTTTGAAAAAGGGTTTCCCACCTCTGAATGCAAGCAAACAAATCATTTGTCACCAAGCTTTCCTGCAAGAAACATCTCATCATGAGT